ATTCTGAGAGCTTGTGTGGCCTACCACTTTGCAGTTGAGCCGTTGTTGCTCCTAGATGCTTCCACTTCATAATAACAGCACTTACAGTTGACTGGGGCAGCACTAGCGGGGCAGAAATTTGACGAACTGACTTGTTGGAAAGGTGGCATCCTATGATGGCGCCACGTTGAAAGTCACTGAGCTCTTCAGTAAGGCCATTCTACTGCCAAAGTTTGTCTATAGAGATTGCATGGCTGTGTGCTCGATTTTATACACCTGTCAGCAACGGGTGTGGCCGAAATAGCTGAATCCACAAATTTGAAAGGGTGTCCACATACTTTTGTATATATAGTGTATATTGAAAGCAGGTGCTTCCGCACGGGTGTGGTTCCTGAGTTAATTAGGCAATTAAACATCCCATCATGCTTAGTGTCATGTATAAAAATGCTGGGCAGGCCATTATTTTGGCTACCACGACTACTCCCTCATAGGATGACAATGCCCCCATCCACAGGGCACGAGTGGTCACTGAATGGTTTGATGAGCATAAAAACAATTTAAACCATATGCCATGGCTGTTTCAGTCACCAGATCTCAACCCAACTGAACACTTACGCGAGATGCTGGAGCGGTGCCTGAGGCAGTGTTTTCCACCACCATCAACAAAACACCAAATTATGGAATTTCTCGTGGAAAAATTGTGTCACATCCCCCCAATAGAGTTCCAGACACTTGTAGAATCTATGCCAAGGTGCATTGAAGCTGTTCTGGCTCGTGATGGCTCAACGGCCTATTAAGACACTATGTTGATGTTTCCATTATTTTGGCAGTTACCTGAAGCTGTAACTAGTCTAAATGGGATTACAGGCCTGATTGGATTAACAAGTTGTATGGAAATCTGTACTGGGGACAAAGAGACAGCTAGGCTGAAAGCCAAGTGATCTCATTATCCACTTATGGGGAGGTCCTCAGAACCGGTCACTTTTCAACTGCTCTCTAGTCATGGCTCGGCGGGCTCTCTCTACTGTCCTGGTATGTATAGGCTACAGTAGAGTTGAGTGGAGCAATAGGAGGGCAATGCAGCAATGGGGGGGCAGTGCACTAATGGGAGGACATGGCATCTCTGGATTCACTCAGTTCAGCTGCCGAGGAGCATCATTTGCTCATCCACACCCAGATAAAGAACAGCAAGGGCATCTGCTGAGAAATGGGAGCAATGCTTGAACTAATCAAATACCCTCCGAAGCAATGCTGCTTGTTTGTTGGCCGTGTTTGTGTTGACAAACGGGAACTGGTCTAGTTATAAGTAGATCTCCTGTAGGGGATCCTGATGTAATTCCAGACAAGAGAACCAAGAGGGATGTAGGCTACACAGTCATGTAGAGGCCTTTGGAAAAGTGGAACATTTCCCACAGTCTGAGATGCTGTATCTATTCACACCCATTCCTGGGCCATATTCATAAAACATCTGAGTAAGAGTGCTGGTCCAGGATCAGTTTGGCCTTTTAGATCATATTAATATTATATGGACAGGGGGACCTGATCCTAGATCAGCAGCTTTATGTCTATAGGCCCTGATTTACTCCACATCTAGTGATGACAAAGGTACCGTGCTTGTGAGGGCGGACATTTCACTCCATAAGTTTAGACCATTAACTCTTGTCCAATTAAGCCATTCATTACTCACATAACTAGGACTGAGTCAATGGTGTTAATAAGAACCCTGAACATATTTATCAACACAGTAATGATGCCAAATATCCATCCGTTTGAGTGTCTTTACAAAACTCATGCCACATTACCAATCAAATTGGATGTTGAACAGAGTTTGGGTAATAAAATGCTAATAATAACTGACAATGGCCTTTGTGAGACCTTGGATATTTTAGCTGAAATGATTTCAGGCTCATGTACTGTGTGACTCAACTGTTTATCATAAAGGGCTACGTGTGATTCATCCTTCCAGGTCATTACTTTACGCCTACACACGTTATACTGGTACAATAGAAGATCCGCTGATGTCCCTATTTAGGCTGTTGTAATGGAATCTCAAATAGTGAGCTGTGTTTTGGGGAATGACAGTGCCTATAATTCAACCATGGACATACACTACCAGTCAAAGGTTTAAGAACACCTACTCATTCAAGGGTTTTTCTTTATTTGTACTATTTTCTACATTGTAGAATAATAGTGAAGACATCAAAACTATGAAATAACACATATGGAATCATGTAGTAACCCAAAAAGTGTTAAACAAATCAAAAATATATTTTACATTTGAGATACTTCAAATAGCCACCTTTTGCCTTGATGACAGCTTTGCACACTCTTGGCATTCTCTCAACCAGCTTCACCTGGAATGCTTTTCCAACAGTCTTGAAGGAGTTCCCACATATGCTGAGCACTTGTTGGCTGCTTTTCCTTCACTCTGTGGTCCAACTCATCCCAAACCATCTCAATTTGGTTGAGGTTGGGGGATTGTGGAGGCCAGGTCATCTGATGCAGCACTCCATCACTCTCCATCTTGGTAAAATAGCCCTTACACAGCCTGGAGGTGTGTTGGGTCATTGTCCTGTTGAAAAACAAATGATAGTCCCACTAAGCCCAAACCAAACTTTTGACCGGTAGTGTAAATATATTCATCATTGGATTCAACACAAGAGTATGTAGTCAGATTATTTGAAAAAAAGTAGATCAAGAAATACTCATACACAAGTTGTTCAATAAACCTTTTTAATCTCAACAGCAAGTTAGCTTATGTGTGGTCAACATCAATGAAGGTAAATATAAAATTGGATTTTCTAAAGACAGGTGTTTGTCAGCAGGAGGTGCAATTATGATACTGAAACACATCCACTACTAATCTTCATTATGTTCATTATATCTTCTGCTATTACTTAGAAATATTGCTATAATACTTTTTAAATGGCATATACTGATGGACCAAAAAAGCACTGTCAAGAAGCTAAAACCAAGAAGCTCCTAACTCCACATGGAGTGGTTGGACAGGGAAACTTCTGAGGGGACTTTGGTTTTGTACCTTTGTAAAACCTGGGTCTACTTATTTCCGGAAAGGATACCCCAAAATAAAAACACAACAGAATTAAAACCAGAAATAAACGCTAAAAGTAAAAAAGGCACACTGAACACTATTCACGCTCAACACAATATTTGTTGCATCTTGAGGGCATTCAAGAGTCTCTAAACCCCTAATTTGTACAAAGCACAATGTCCAACCAATAGTGTTATTCTCTGGTCTTTCTTTGAAAAGAACCAAATGTTTTGTGTCCATTTATTGGGATAAAAGAGAGCGAATGGGTCCCTCGCTTTTGTTTTAGTCTCCAGGGGAAGCAGCAGACTAGGCTAAACACCCATCACCACCTCGCTCTCGCTACATTTCCTTTTTACCTCGTAAAAGTGCTCCAGTAATTCAACTTCCACAGACACTCCTGTAGTCTAGTCTATGGCAGTGTCTCAAATGGCAGCCTATTACCTACATAGTACACTATTTTGACAGGGCCAATAGGGCTCTGCTCAAAAGTAGTGTACTATGTAGTGAATAGGGTGCCATTTGAGAAGCAGCCTTTGCCTCTGACCTCGACCACTTCTGTTTTTCCTCCTAGTTAATGAAAAGTAGAGTTTTATGTCTTCGTCAGAGATCTGTACGCTTCAAGTAGATTCAAAAGTGAAGTGTTCATTCTAAGCTTGTTGTAAGAGAGCCATGGTGAAACTTGACTCAATTAATCCAGTGTCGGGTGACTAACGTTCTGTTCTTACGTTGTTGTTGTTTTACTGTAACCTTTAGGTTAGAGAAACACATTCCTTCAGAAACCCAGTAGGTATTTAGGGCTTTTCCACCACAGAATCATGATTAGACATTTTATATATCAACACTGTAGGCCCACATCAGCTGTATACCACAGGAGGTATAAGGACACAATCTGGAGATAAAACCCTCACCTAACTCAACACTAGTGCAGCAAACTGATTTGATTGGACTTAACTTGACTTATTCCTTTTAGCTCCTAGTGAAGCAAAGGGCCTCACAAACTGATTTGTGTAGAATGTTGGAAATAACTACCCAATTTAAAAGGAACGTGAACACAAATCATGTTTCTCTTCATTAAATATTGATTAGAGTACTGTTTTTGTCTTCCCTTTTATCTGCTGCGATGGGATTGGTGGGGGGATTATCTCCCGATTACATCATCACGGTCTACGTGTGATGAGCTGTCACTGTGGATATGTTGGCTGTGAGTCATCATACTGGAATTCTCCCGAAAAAAGTATGACTTTCTGGTGAGGAAGGAGCCTGTGTGGCTACCCAGTCCCAGATGGATATATTGCTTCAATATTGCCACGATAAAATATTGACGAACACTGCACTTATCAAGTCGCGCATTAATTCATTACTTTGTCTCTTGTTCATTTTTTGTTTTACTACGTCAAACACACAACGTGTTTTTGAGAGTTCTTGTCCTATTTCAATACAAAATAGCATTGTTGTCTTTTGGATTGTGCTTTCGGTAAGCCAAGTTCCGTTGTCCACGTCTTCCAAAAATGACCAAACTGTGCTAAGTCTTCTTGCATCGTCCAGCTCTTCTTCTCGACAAGGCCGCTGCGGCTGCAGTCAGCTTTGAGGCAATTGTGTTCCTGTGGAGCGATATCACTTCACACGTGACACCCCCCATCATAGCAACATCCATCCATCCACATATACCCAGCCAGCCAGCCATGCTGGCACGCCCTCATCAACCAGGCAGCCACCAGGTCTGGGTCCTAGCATAGGGCTGATGGAAACAGAGGAGTAGGAAGAAGGGAGATAGGGAGGATTTTGGTAGAAAAGGTTCTGAGGTTGGTTCACCACAACAAAAAAATAGTATTCATTGATACAAAAAAACACTTTCCCTTTCCCCTGTACCTTGACCCCCAACTCCACTCCATCACATCTACGACATAATGCTGTGTAGGTTTTCAACTGTCGGTAATGCTGCTTTCTCCCCACAGTTCTACCGGCTTCAGTTCACCAGTACGAAGCCGTGCTGCGAGTCTACAGTCTCCATCATCTCGCTGTCCAGAAAGGAGTCCTGGAGCTCGGCGGGGAGCGCCAGCCCCTCGTAGCCAGCCACAGGGGCCTCTCCTGGGCCAGGCGGGTGTGGCTGCCCGGGGTCCAGGGGGAACTCGTATTGCTCTGGATAAAGTGCCTCTTGGGGGGAGTGGAACTGGCCCTGCTGGTCACACAGCTGGTAGCTGTATCCCAGGGCCTCGGGGTGCTGGTTCTGCAGCTGGCCGGCCAGGCTGGGGTGCATGAGTATTGGGCTGAGGTGGGAGTGAGGGTGGGGGTAGTGTTGGGCCAGGTATGGGTCGTAGACCAGGTTGGCGCTAGGCTCCATGAGGGGGCTGAGGGCCTGGGTGTAGGGAGGGGAGGCCTGGGAGCTGCCCTGTTGCTGGTGGGCCCCGGCCATGGCCCCCTGCTGCTGTGGAGGGGCCCCTGGGTCCCCTGGAAAGGAACCCTCCACTATCTGCATCTGGTTGAAGTAGGTTTGGAGGTGGGTCTGCTTCTGGAGGTACATCCTCTTCTGGTGCAACCTGAAGATATAGCGATATAGGTTATAGCGACAAGCAGGAAAATAAGATGACGATGGGATCCGTTTGATAAGTGTGAATAGTCTAATAATGTACCTATGCTCCTGTAGCTGTTGCTCTAGACTCCGAGGATTCTCCTTACAGAAGAGCTGGCAGCTAGCAGGACTCACATTAGCCATAACACTAGCTTTCTGTAAGGGACAGAGAGGGGAATTTGAGGGATTGAATAACTATATCTGTCTCAAATGTGCCATCCAGAAACATTGATAGGTATAAAATGACAATGAAATTTAGATACAATCTTACAGTAATGCATACAAACTAACAACATATTATTAGTCATTGTTTTATTGTAATTGATTACTCCTTTAATAAATATTTATATACATACAGTATAAAACAGATTGAGTGGTGTATTAGTACCTGTAGTCTGTGTGCGAGATATTGTGTCTCCAGGCTCTGTCTTCGGGACAGTAGAGGTTGGGCGCCACCATGGTATAAAGCCAAGTTATCCTCGTGCTTGGATGCCTCCCCCTGAAAACACACAACACACACAGAAGCATTCAGAGGTTACACTCACAATCTCACTGGGTTACAGACGAAAAGCAGATAAAATTGTCAGCGGCCAAATTTACCGGGCGAAAATAACAATCCCGTTGCAAAATGATGCTTTTTATTCATGAATGGAAATATCAGTCAATGGAAATACATTTGACCGTCATGCTTATCGGTCTGTAGGTAAATGTAGCTACATTTAGGGGAATTAAATTGGGCGTGTGTTTTTTCGTTAGTCATTATATTTATCACACAAGCATAGTATACACAGGCTATTTTGAGCAGAATGTCCCTTGTCAGACAACGGCAGAGCTGCTGCGGTTTCTCAAGCTCGTTACTGCTGGAGTGAAACATGCTTTTATAAGCCCAGTCATTGCACGACAATTCTAAATGCAATCGCTTGTTAAAAACAGTTTTGATCGGCATGATTAAAAAGAGCTACTATTTTTATTTCTCAACCTGGTAATTGAAGCGCGCCTCCAATTCCCCATTCAAGTGCAGGCAACAGTAGGCAGGCTATCAGCGCATCAACCACCACTTTGCAATGTGAACTGGAGGTCGTAAGCATTTTGAAAACATATACTTCATTGTTTGAAACCTGGATGTTTTACGTCATATTATGAGGTATGTCTTACTTTGCTTCAAAGTAGACTAGGCAAAATCTGACCATAGAAACGTGGAGGCAATTATTTTATAAAGACTTCCTCATATGCCATTGAAACCAGCATTTCTCTCCTGTTCTACCGGTTTTCATATCAACTTTATTTCATTGTCCAGAAGCCAAAGGCACAATCCTAGTCATATTAGCAACACATCCTAGTTGTTTCATCTTTAGATTCCCCCTCATTCTAAGATTTTCATCACCGTCACATATGGAACCGCTCGCATCAGGTGCGCTGTTTAGAATGGTGTTTACCCGCAAACTTTATTTGGCCAAATGTTTGAAATTGACGTTTTATTGGCTGCTTCATTACAGGAGTTCTGTTAAGATTAATTATCATAATATAAACTGGATTTCTGTCATTCTGAGCACCGTGGGTGGATGCCCTAATGGGTTACGTACTCAATGCATATGGGTCTGGTACATTTCTCAAATGGCCGGTAAATTAAAATCTTCCCGGTCACGTTGTCCGCCGCTACATTTTCCTAACAGAAACCCTGACGCGGAGGCGCACACACACGAAAACACACACTCACACAGCTCCACTGAGTAATGAACTCATTGCCACTCTTGTATACAGGTCCAGTGTGTTGCTGTTGTTGTTGTTGTTGTTGTAGTATTGTTGCTGACTGTGAATAGTGATTGTATGGTAAACAACTATAGAGACCTTGTGGACAGACAGGCATGCTGCCAATCAGCACTTAGACCACCAGGGCTTTGTCCCAAATGGCACCTATTCCAAATCCCTATATAGTGCACTATTTTTGCCCAGAGCCCTGGTCAAAAGTAGTGCACTAAATAGTGACTAGGGTGCCATTTGGGTCGCAGACTAAGCCTCTGTATGTACCACCACAACCAACCAACCAACCACACACACAGGCCTTGTGTTGACACGCAGCAACCACAGGACGCACTGTTCTAGGGCAAGGGAGCTGGATGCAGTCACACAGTTACTTCTAAGATAACTCTATTGCTTTTCTCTCTCACAGGCACGCACACACACACTCTCCCTCTAACCTCACTCTCTCTCCCTCTTTCACACACTCTCTCTCTCTCCCTATTTTTATGGGCACCCATTACTATGGGCAGCAGTATTACCTCAACAATGACTGCATTCACTCTGTGCAGCACCAGGGGCTGACTGACAGTCAACAAGGAGACAATTGGCTGCCTCTTCGTCCCGACGGACCATTATATAACCAGCCTTGTCTGTGATTCACCGGCTGGCTGGCTAATGAATCGCTGGTGAGGTCAGGAGATGTGCTGCTGGGTGGGGTCTCTCGCTTTCGGTCTGTCTGTCTGCCTGTCTGCCTGATCCTCTCCTGACACTGTGGAACCAGTACTGACCTGCAGCATGGGGTCCAGCAGGTTCTGCAGGTTTGCATGGGGCCCCACGGTCCTCATGGAGGACGGGTCCTCCCCGGAGCCCATCTGCTCGTACATCTGTTTGTTCAGCTCCAGGATGCCTTTGGTCCGCGCCAGGTTCTGGAGATGCTGTCGGAACGCAACCAGACCTGACAACATAGAGTCAGGGGTTTTAGCATCCAAACGAATCGTTAGAACCCGGTTCCCTTGCATCTATCCGACTGAAATTACATAGCTATCACTTCTAGCCTACCTCCTCCACCGCCTGCAGGGAGAGAGTATGTACGTCATAAGTGTGTGTGTGGGTGGTAACATTTTGTGTGTGTGTGTGTGCGTGTGTGCGTGTGTAATGGTGGTTGTAATAAAAACCTATCTCCGGCTCCTAAAAGGCTGGGTGACTGTTCCTGACGGCGTGAACCACGGGACCTGACTCATCCTAATGATAAGGCTATATAAAGATTTGAGAAGCTTCTCCATGTCTCCCCCTTGCAGCTGCACGAAGAACCCAGCTGCTGATTCTAATGGCTGTTTGAAACGTCAGTGAAAGAACTGGGGCTCTGGTGACTCTTAGCTCCTGCTGTGTGTGTGTGTGTGTGCGCAGACTGAAGAGGCAGCTGGGGGGAAAAAAAACAACACACACACATCTCCTATATACGGTGAGGGGAAAAAAGTATTTGATATCCTGCTGATTTTGTACGTTTGCCCACTGACAAAGAAATGATCTGTCTATAATTGTAATGGTAGGTTTATTTGAACAGTGAGAGACAGAATAACAACAACAAAATCCAGAAAAATGCATGTCAAAAATGTTATAAATTGATTTGCATTTTAATGAGGGAAATAGGTATTTGACCCCTCTGCAAAACATGACTTAGTACTTGGTGGCAAAACCCTTGTTGGCAATCACAGAGGTCAGACGTTTCTTGTAGTTGGCCACCAGGTTTGCACACATCTCAGGAGGGATTTTGTTCCACTCCTCTTTGCAGATCTTCTCCAAGTCATTAAGGTTTCGAGGCTGACGTTTGGCAACTCGAACCTTCAGCTCCCTCCACAGATTTTCTATGGGATTAAGGTCTGGAGACTGGCTAGGCCACTCCAGGACCTGAATGTGCTTCTTCTTGAGCCACTCATTTGTTGCCTTGGCTGTGTGTTTTGGGTCATTGTCATGCTGGAATACCCATCCACGACCCATTTTCAATGCCCTGGCTGAGGGAAGGAGGTTCTCACCCAAGATTTGACAGTACATGGCCCCGTCCATCGTCCCTTTGATGCAGGGAAGTTGTCATGTCCCCTTAGCAGAAAAACACCCCCAAAGCATAATGTTTCCACCTCCATGTTTGACGGTGGGGATGGTGTTCTTGGGGTCATAGGCAGCATTCCTCCTCCTCCAAACACGGCGAGTTGAGTTGATGCCAAAGAGCTCGATTTTGGTCTCATCTGACCACAACACTTTCACACAGTTCTCCTATGAATCATTCAGATGTTCATTGGCAAACTTCAGATGGGCCTGTATATGTGCTTTCTTGAGCAGGGGGACCTTGTGGGCGCTGCAGGATTTCAGTCCTTCACGGCGTAGTGTGTTACCAATTGTTTTCTTGGTGACTATGGTCCCAGCTGCCTTGAGATCATTGACAAGATCCTCCCGTGTAGTTCTGGGCTGATTCCTCACCGTTCTCATGATCATTGCAACTCCACGAGGTGAGATCTTGCATGGAGCCCCAGGCCGAGGGAGATTGACAGTTATTTTGTGTTTCTTCCATTTGCGAATAATCGCACCATCTGTTGTCACCTTCTCACCAAGCTGCTTGGCGATGGTCTTGTAGCCCATTCCAGCCTTGTGTAGGTCTACAATCTTGTTCCTGACATCCTTGGAGAGCTCTTTGGTCTTGGCCATGGTGGAGAGTTTGGAATCTGATTGATTGATTGCTTCTGTGGACAGGTGTCTTTTATACAGGTAACAAACTGAGATTAGGAGCACTCCCTTTAAGAGTGTGCTCCTAATCTCAGCTCTTTACCTGTATAAAAGACACCTGGGAGCCAGAAATCTTTCTGATTGAGAGTGGGTCAAATACTTATTTCCCTCATTAAAATGCAAATCAATTTATAACATTTTTGACATGCGTTTTTCTGGATTTTGTTGTTGTTATTCTGTCTCTCACTGTTCAAATAAACCTACCATTAAAATTAGACTGATCAGGTCTTTGTCAGTGGGCAAACGTACAAAATCAGCAGGGGATCAAATACTTTTTTCCTCTCACTGTATACATTTTAAGCTCTCTATTAATTAAGTTACTTTCCAGGGTGCTTCTGCTGCTGCTACGGGATGAAACATTAAACAAAGCTATGTGGGCCAAACCTTCAAAGCGCAGTCTGATTCACAAAATGAATCATCAGAGTGAGAGAGAGAGCGAAAGACAGAGGGGGTGGGTGAAAGAGAAGAAAATAAAGCGAATGAGAGCCAATTTCAGCTTGAAAATGTGTGTGCGCAGGGGTGTGAATGAGCTGCGGTTCACAGGGGTCTTGAGTCGTCTGTGCGATGATTAGAGACCGAGACCTTGATGATGGCGTCTCTCAGGGTCCTAATGTTCAGGGGTTGAGGGAGGAGAAGATGCTCAGGTGGAGACCTGATGTCAATTGTATTTTTCATTTAGCAAATTACACCCTATTCCCTGGTATATAGTGCACTACTTTGGAGCAGAGTCACACCAGTTGTCTTATGAGACGCAGGCTGACAACAGAGAGAGAGGTGGAGAAATGTTGAGGGAAAGAAGGAGTGAAAAAGACATGAAGATCGAGACGGAGAAAGAGACGGGTAAAGATCGAGAAAGAGACAACCAGTGGATCTCACCTTGTGTGAGGGAGGTGTCGGAGGCGCGGCGGCCCTCCCTGAAGCTGATGGGCGAACGGTTGTGGGCCTCCCTCCTCTGGGAGCTCAGGGCCTGCATGGTGGGCCGCTGGCTCATGAAGGGGCCCTGGGTCATGTGGGGCCCCGAGTTGTGGGTGTTGGCCAGGACCACCTCGCTGAGAGAGGGGGCATCCTCCAGCAGACCCAGGTCACTGTGCAAGGAGCCCATGTCGTAGCCCATGTCAGAGTCCACGCTGCCCAGGGATGGGTTGTGGCCCATGGTTAACAGTTTACCTTTTGGTTCACAGCAATACAGGAAAGCAAGGGTTCATTGACAGTACTACTGGTGGATTGGATATTGTTATAATTAGGGTCACAGGTTTTTCTGGGTAGGGCTGGCACAATTATCATATAACCGTGAACAAAAACCTATTTTTGTTGTTGTCATAATCGTTTTCATACACGTTATGATAAGAGGGGATTCAACTTTATATTCAAGTAGATATAGTTTACCCAATAGGATTTGTTCATTTTTACATGAAGTGGGTAACGTTAGCAATACTTTTTTACAAGCAGAACGGCATGGTCGGGAGGAGATCCAAAAGTTCAAAGCTGTAAAAACCAATAGACAAGGGTGTCACTAAAGCTGTGTTGTATTCATTAGGTATGTGATAGCTAATTTTCAAATATGCAGTAAGATGCATTACAAGCTAAAAAAATAAATACAAAAATAAAAGACAATTATGAATATAACAGTGGCCATTTGCATGAAAATTAATTGATACTCCAAATTCCATAATCATCACAGCACGTTTTCCGGGTAAGGTCGCTGGTCAGGAAAGATTCCCGAGGGGTATACTACAAAGCAAGATCAATGACTTTGCCAGTTAACTTCCCAGAATATTCTGAAATAACTATTTATTTTTTAAGAAAATAAGTATGAAATGGGCATGGTCTAATTGTCTCAACAACCAAAACACATTAAGTTCATCTTTCTTAAATTAACCAGAAAATCAATAGTTATTTCTGTTTTGTTATCAAAGTTAGCTGGCTAACTCGTTGATCCTGCTTTGTAGTGCACCCCTCTGGCCTCAGATAGATATAATAAATAAATACCAGTCAATCCACTCATTCATCCATCCATCAATAAATGTGGTGCCTTTAAAATAACAATTTGCACTGGAAGCGCACATTTTCACCATTCACAAACGCAATACTTGCTGGCTTAGCAGATCAACAACCCATCGTATGAACACAGCCCTATGTCCTCTATCTAGGCAATGACCTATATGATTCTCTAATGTCCCAGAGCCTTGGTTCAGTTCTGACCTTGGTTGATGACGGGGCCCAGCTGGTTAGTGACCTCGGACAGGGTGTGTCGGCGCTGGCCGAAGCGGGCCGTCTGGAAGGCGGAGAAGAGGTGGGCGGGGTCGTCCTCGGCGTCGGGTTCCTCAGTCTCTATACCCTCGTCGATAGACGTCTCCATCATGTTACTGGGTGACGACACGCTGGACTTGCGCAGCACTGTGGGAGGCAGGGGGTCCAGCATGCAGCCATTGACCTAAAGGCAAAGACAGGGAGAGGCACGGTGAGTTGCTTGCTGGAGCAATCCATTTATGAAATGTATTTCACAGGGACAGTGTACATTAATCATTATTGCCCTTTCCACATCAATGCTCAAGTGCCAGCTGTTAGCAAAATAGCTCATTTTCATCCATAGTCCCTGGGAACTCGCTATAGAGTTGGGGATCAAACTGGGTTACCAACCCAGACTCTCAGGGCATTATCTCTGGGGAGCTAACGCGAGTTTCCAGCACACAGGCAAAGTTACTCATCATGTGAGAGGGTCTCACCTAAACACCTCCATTACACTTTGGTCTCCCCATTTAGCTCCATTCCTACATTTCTACGGGGCAGCTTGAGACTCTGAATGGGACCTCCTTCTCTGTCACACACACACTGCCTAAGAGGGTGAAACCATTCATCAGGACATGGCTCCTCTCTCGGTTAATTCATGACCAGGCAGCTTCCCCCTAATGTACACATCCAGAGGGTCCTCTTTACTTGTGTTATTGGAGTGGACAGCTCTGGACCTACAGAAACATACAATCTACTGCAAGGTTTGGGGACTGGATGGGTAAACAAAATGTGTCTGCCATTTCTCGCTCTCCCTCTCTTTTCCCCCCGTTGCTCAGACACTAAGAGGGGAGAGGGGAGGAAGTCTGGTATGCATGCACAGGAAGTGTGCTTTGGCCGAAAGCGCAGCGAGAGACTCTCCCACAGACACAGGCACACTGAGACACAATCAGGCTCGCTCATCAAGCACACACACACGTATCTCGCTCACAGTGTCTCTCTCACACACAAATGTCTCCCTCCGACAGAAATCTCTCTCGCACGCACACACACTGTCTCTCTCACACACCCCTTGCTGACACGGATCATCTGGATGAGTTGCCGGGGAAACCAGAACCCTGGGCTCCTCCAGTCAGAGCTGCTTTGTACAATTCCTGATCCCAGTCTCCTGAAGCGTGCTAGGCCAGGAATGCTGCCTGTTACTCAACGCACTGGGGAGGGAGAGGGAGAGGGGCTGGTTGCTCGAACCCAGGCCACACCAGGCTATTTCTGCACAATGCCCTACTGCCTAGTGTGCATCCAAAAGGGCACACTATATCCTATTTAGTGCACTAGTTTGACCAAAGGTAGTGCCCTAATTAGGTAACAGGTTGCCATTTGGGATTCATTCCTAGTGCCTACAGTGGCTAGAGCCAGCAGGGGCTCATCAGGAGTGAGGGAGGGCAGAGGGAACGGCCTCAACAGGCAGCATCCTGGTCATGTGTCCTGCTGGTGTTCCTGCTGCTGCAATCATGCTAGTTCCTTGTTCTTGAGGGGCCACGCTGTGTTCACTCACCGAGATAACACTTGAGCGTTGCTTTGATATAATCTCTTGCAAGTCTGCTGGTTACACAGCATTTTTTATGAGGGTTAATATATCATTTTTAAGTATAGTTCGTCAGTAAATAAAAAAATAATAGGTTGTAAAAGTGATAAATAATTAAGTGGTCAAAATAAAACTAGTATAGGGTCTGTGCGTATAAGGCAGCTGTTCAACACACAGAAGCAAGCAGGGGAATGGTAGATTGCTCAACGTAGAGTGCTGACGTTGGAGTGAAGTCGAACGCTAAAGCCTGGCCAGGTTGGAAGAAAAGGTCACAGTCCGGCACAGATAAAGACACACTTAGCAGAGCGGGAGGAGGAGAGTGAGGGAGACAGTCTGGATCCAGAGCTGCAGGGGCAAGAGTACAGCAGATGTCACATGGTCCAACGCTAAGTGTACGTGTGCTCCTACTGTGTGTGTGTGTGTGTGTTTGTTCGTGTGAGGGGGAAAGAGGTCTCGGACTGTGCCTGAGCTGTAGAGAACTGGCAGCTGTCATGTCAGATGTGTGGCCCCAGCCAGTGACAGACAGACAGATAGCAGAGGGGACGGATGGGTCTGAGTAGCGAGGGGCAGCTGGCCGTGCGGTTCCTGTTAGACCCAGCCAGCCCAGTGCCTCAGCCTTAAGGCCTCTGGGGAGCTGCTCACAGGGCAAGACACATCCCTCCATTCCCCCTCTGATAACCAGGCTGTGTCTAGGGCAGGGTGCACAGACAGTGTCCCAAATAGCACCCGGTTCCCTATATAGTGCACTACTTTTGACCATGGCCCATAGGGTTTCCCATAGGGCCCTGGTCAAAAGTAGTGCACGATATAGGGAATAGAGTGCCATTTGGGATGTAGAGGAGAGAAAGGGGGCCAGCCAAGTAGCATTAACAGCAGGTGCAGGCCAGGAGAGGTCAGAATAGGACAGGGGATTTGAACGGGGTTAACACACAAACACACCATCATGTTCCCAGCTTATGTACTCTACTGTGGATCCCCGTCCTCAGTGAAACGTGAGTCAGAGCTCTTTCATAACATAACTGTGACGCAAACACCACCATCCATCACTCAGGTAGCATCCCAAATGGCACCCTATTCCCTATATAGTGCACTACTTTTTCTATATAGTGCACTTCTTTTGACCAGAGCCTCAAAAGGTAGTGCACTATAATGGCACCAAATTCCCTTTATAGTGCACCACTACTGACCAGGGCCCAGGTCAAAAGCAGTGCACTACTAAATAGGGAGTAGCGTGCCATTTATGATGCAAACTCAGTCAGAACTAGCTAGAAGTTCCCACACAATGTATAAAAAGGGGTAAGTGGGGACTGCGGCTGGACTGTGTCACTCCTCCGCTGATTTGGTGTTGTTGTTCTATTGAGTGCCAAACTGGCAACGCTCCCTTCTCTCGCCGCTTGGCTGTGGGGAGTTGGGGACAGCCTTGAACAAAGAGCCCCCTGGGGAGGGAAGGAGGCAGGATGAGTGGGCTAAACTAAACGAAATAGACAGACTCTTGGATAACTCAGCAGCAGTGGCCAGTCGGGGTTGGGGTTGCCTGGGGGGAGGACCGGTCCTCTGTCGGGTCACCAGTTGCAATAAGTGCTCCACGGGGACATGTTCAGTTGGAGAAAACATTTTGAAACGTTTTCAAACAGGGGAGGTACTCCCTGAGTTTGTCCCAATAGGAACATCGATTCTTGTAATTTGTTTTGCTTAATTCCACTAACTCAATAGTGTTATCCAGCTGGAAATCTGGATAACACTCTACATAGTGGGTGTCTACAGGCCGGGGTGCTTCGGTTCAGAACAGCTCGTAACCTTAGATGACATGTTGTTTGGCGTCGTGACTTACTTTAGGAGTGGCCACGTCCTCGACCACGAAGCTGTGCTCAGGTAGAAGTGGCGACTGTGGGAAGTTGAAGGCATCGGCAGAGGCTTGGGGCAGGGCTGGGGAGCGTAGGAGACACCGCACCCCCTGGGGCAGGAGACCCACCTGGGGGGAGCCACCGCTCGGTTCACTCGGCTGTAGGGGAGATAGACGGAGGGGTACAGAGAGAGCGAGAGAGAATGAGGGAGGAAGATAAGAAGAGAGACGAGAGAGAGAAAGAGATAGGAGGAAAGAATGTGGATAGAGAGAGATTCAAAGAAAGAGGAAGAGGGTGAAAGGTAACAGAGAGAATAAAAGGAAGAAAGGAAGTTGAATGGATAGAGTGAGAGAAGAAAAAAAGAGAGGGCAGTGAAAGGAAGAGAAAAGATGCTTCATTAATGAATGAATACATGTTCTTTGAACAGCCAGGTGTGTGAATGTAAATGTCTTTGATTATTACGACCACAGACACCCATTCTAATGCACCACACAGACAGATCTACTTTGTGATGAAGACAGCGGGGGCTACCTTGACAACAGTCTGCTCGGCGATGGTGCTGGGCCGGCGCTGGTGTACGTCAAGCCGCTGCTCCACAGGGAAACTGCAGCGGTGGGCCTTGAGACGCTCCACCAGCAGGTAGTAGATCGCAGCAAAGTGGTTGTAATTCTTGTTTTGGAGAGACTGGACACAGGGAGGGACAAACCATGTTAAAGCTGCAATATGTCACTTTTTGACCGACAAAATTCACATAGAAACGTAAGTTATAGAGCTGTCATTCTCATTGAAAGCAAGTATAAGAAGCTTCCCGTTCTTAAGTTTAGTTTTTGCATCTTTTATATTCAGTTTTGTACACCAGCTTCAAAACAGCTGAAAATACACTATTTTTGGTTATGGAAAAGATATTTCACAGCGGTTTAAATCAGTGGTTCCCAACCAGGGGTACTTGGCCTATCCACAGCGGCTCCTTGAGAAGACTCATGAGAACATAGGCCTGCTGGTAAAATGCACATGAGGCGGTACTTCAGGGGTACTCCGGACAGAGCAAAATGAAGTTGGTGGTACAGTAACCGAAAAAGGTTGGGAACCACTTAGATGGTACAATGATTCTCTACACAATACTTGCTTGTTTTGTCACATAAACTGAAATAAGGCGAACTATTAGAATTTTAGCAACGAGGAAATAGCGGCGCGATTTCTGTATAGTGCATCTTTAAAGGGATAGTTCAGTATTTTATAACTTGATGTTAGATGCTTCCGCACCCTGAATGTAATATATGGGCCAGGATAAACTGTAATCCATGGTTTGGTTTTCTTGAAACAGCCACTACACGTAGGGCAGCAGATAGCCTAGCAGTTAGTGCGTTGGGCCAGTAACCGAAAGGTTGCTAGTTCGACAAGGTAAAAAAAATCTGTTGATTTGTGCTTGAGCAAGGCACTTAACCCTAATTGCTCCAGGGTCGCTGTTGATAATGGGTGACCTTGGCTGTGACCCCACTCTAAGTTGGGATATGTAAAAAAAAACATTTCCAATTCACACATGCGTTCACACATTCACACTTGTACATCTGTGAAATAGGATGATTATAAATTATTAGTATTATTTTATTATTCCAAACTTTAGCTAACGATCAATGTAAGTAATAGGGGCAATCGTGCAAGTAAAAAAAAAAAAAACATTAATATTTCACTGTCTGGGTCCAGAGTGATGAGTATCTATGAGGGAATTTGTCACCCAAAGTGACTTACATTCATGCGTGCATACATTTCTTAGGTATAGGTGGCCCCGGGAATCGAACCCACTATCCTGGCATTGCAAGAGCCATGTTCTACCAACTGAGCTACAGAGGACCACAGCTGTACTAACATCAATACTCATAATAGGGTGTCATTAGAGATGCAGCCAATATCCACTCTGGCACACTACTTTGAATCCACGCGCAACACATTGCTCCATTCTCTTTAGTATGCTAGTGTACAGGGCCGGATCCAGACATAAGTGACCAAAAAAGGAACTCAGCCTGTGTCTCAAAATGGTGTTGTTTTGCCACGAGGTGGGAGGGGGCCGTCCAACCAAATCTGGTTTAGGGCCACCAAAAGGCTAAAGCCGGCCCTGCTAGTGTAGATATTGTCTGCATCCCAACTGTCACCCCTATTCCCTTTACAGTGCACTAGTATTTACATTTACATTTTAGTCATTTAGCAGACGCTCTTATCCAGAGCGACTTACAGTTAGTGAGTGCATACATTATTTATTTTTTCATACTGGCCCCCAGTGTGAAGCGAACCCACAACCCTGGCGTTGCAAACGCCATGCTCTACCAACTGAGCTACATCCCTGCCGGCCACTCCCTCCCCTACCCTGGACGACGCTGGGCCAATTGCGCGCCGTCCCATGGGTCTCCCGTCGCGGCCGGCTACGACAGAGCCTGGATTCGAACCAGGATCTCTAGTGGCACAGCTAGCACTGCGATGCAGTGCCTTAGACCACTGCGCCACTCGGGAGACCAGTATTGACCAGGGCCCTATATAAAGGAACAAGGCGCCATCTCTCTAGGTCATCTTTCACCTCGATTGTCTTGTGTTGGTCGATGCCCAGGCTGTGCATGAGCCGTAGAACCTGCTCGCTGTACTCGCCCAAGTCGCCCTCCTGCTGGTACAGCATGGGCCTCTGCACCGGCACGTCCAGTGCCATCCACTTGTGCTCCTTGATCTGGGCCACCGACAGACGCTTGGACGGGTCCAGCACCAGCATCCTACGGATCAGGTGCTCGCAGTCTGGGAGAGGGAACGGATAGAAAGAATAATAAAGATGGAGACAGAGAGAGGGAGAGAAAGGGGAAGAAAATCAATGTACAACCCTTGGTACTCAGAACCATAACAGAGAGCCCTCGCTTGAGACACTGTCTGATGACAGAGAGGGGAGTGTACACATTTGCCCCTGACACATCAGACCATACACAACAACACGCAGCCCGGGACAGTGGTACTGAGTGTACTGTGTGTACCATGTACCGAGAGTTCCGAGGGAAGAATAAGAAGAGAGAGCTCCAGCTGAAACATTACGTCGGGGGAACAAAGCGGTTCTATTGAAGCAGGGCCGGCCACAGGGAAGGAGTGAAGGAGCGCCTCCACTACTCACGCTAATAAAAACAGATGATCTCATGCAGGAATGCACAGTGGGCTCTTCCTCGCTTCTTCTCTTTCTATCCCCATCTCATTCTTACTCTCTCTCTGCCTTCTTAACTCCATCCCTCTCTCTCTCCTTTTCCCCCCTCCACCCTTCTCTCTCGGAGGAGGATGGAGAGGCCTCTTAACCTTCAGGTAGCGGCTAAATGAGCTTGACGTCACCAACCGCTGGGTCTTAATAGGATTACTGCCCACCGGGCTGAGGCTGTGATCTTTTGTGCGTGTGTGTGTTTGTCTCTTTGTGTTTGTGTGCGAGCGTCTGTCTGAGTCTGTCTGCATCTCTCCTCTCCATCCTGTGATCTATGGTCTTATGTATGATGACTGCTCTGCTGCCGAATGAGCACTTCTCTTGAGTACATCATGACACTATCATGGAAATATTCAGGGCCGGACGGTTAACACTTATTTTCTTTTGTCCCCCCCCCCTGCTTTCTTTATCTCGGATTTCTGTTACACCAAATACCCCAGGGCCACTTTGATACGGACGTCAAAGAATGTACAGTAATGGAGGTAAAACAAAGTAGTGTACTACCAGTACAGCGCTGCCTGATTTGTTATAGACAGCCTCTGTACTGTACAGTGTGTGTGCCAGTGTGTGTGTAGCAGAGAACTTGTCGGGAGGAAATGTAGGAGGAAACGTTCTTCTCATCTGAAGCAAAAGGAGGGAACAGGACCGGAGCGGGCCGGGGGGCTGCAGGCAGGCGAGGGGGCTTAAGTAACACAGTCTCAACGTTAACAGTGAAGAGGGGACTCCGGGATGCTGACCTTCTAGGCAGAGTTGCAAAGAAAAAGCCATTTCTCAGACTGGCCAATAAAAATAAAAGATTAAGATGGGCAGTCTGAGATATGGCTTTTTCTTTGCAACTCTGCCTAGAAGGTCAGCATCCTGTATTTGTCATCTTGCTCAGTTGTGCACCGGGGCCTCCCACTCCTCTTTCTATTCTGGTTAGAGCCAGTTTGCGCTGTTCTGTGAAGGGAGTAGTACACAGCGTTGTACGAGATCTTCAGTTTCTTGGCAATTTCTCGCATGGAATAGCCTTCATTTCTCAGAACAAGAATAGACTGACGAGTTTCAGAAGAAAGTTATTTGTTTCTGGCCATTTTGAGCCTGTAATCGAACCCACAATTGCTGATGCTCCAGATACTCAACTATTCTCAAGAAGGCAAGTTTTATTGCTTCTTTAAAATCAGCACAACAGTTTTCAGTTGTGCTAACATAATTGCAAAAGGGTTTTCTAATGATCAATTGGCCTTTTAAAATGATAAACTTGGAATAGCAAACACAATGTGCCATTGGAACACAGGACTGATGGTTGCTGATAATGGGCCTCTGTACGCCTATGTAGATATTCCATTAAAAATCAGCCGTTTCCAGCTACAATAGCCATTTACAACATTACAATGTCTACACTGTATTTCTGATCAATTTGATGTTATTTAATGGACATGGTGTGGTTACGAAATCTCCAAAATATAGTTATTCTTAAAACAAGCCATAGAAAGTTGGTTGCAATTTCAGTTTAATCAACCAGAAAAGACAGAACAAATAATACAACAAATATTGTGGTTAAACCCAAATATACTAATTGATTAAAAAAATAAAAATAAAAAATAAAAATAATAATAATAATAATAATAATAATAATAATAATAATAATAATAATAATAATTCGGTAACAAAAAACAAGTAGAATCTTAGTAAATGATTTCATAAATAGGACTGGTGGAGTTGTCACACATGTGGCTAACGAACATACAGTACCAGTCAAAAGTTTGGACACACCTACTCATTCAAGGTTTTTCTTTATTTTTTACATTGTAGAATAATATAGTGATGACATCAAAACTATGAAATAACACATTCGGAATCATGTAGTAACCAAAAAAGTGTTAGAGAGTAGAGAGTCAATGTGCCGGGGCACAGGTTAGTCGAGGTAATTGAGGAAATATGTACATGTGGGTAGAGTTCAAGTGACTATGCATAGATAATAAAGAGAGTAGCAGCAGCGTAAAAGATGAGGTGTGGTGGGGTGGGGGGGACAATGCAAATAGTCGGGGTAGCCATGATTAGCTGTTCAGGAGTATTATGGCTTGTGGGTAGAAGCTGTTAAGAAGCCTTTTGGACCTAGACTAGGCACTCCGGTACCGCTTGCCGTGCGGTAGCAGAAAGAACAGTCTATGACTAGGGTGGCTGGAGTCTTTGACAATTCTTAGGGCTTTCTCTGACACCGCCTGGTATAGAGGTCCTGGATGGCAGGAAGCTTAGCCCCAGTGATGTACTGGGCCGTACGGACTACCCTCTGTAGTGCCTTGCGGTCGGAGGCCGAGCAGTTGCCATACCAGGCAGTGATGCAACCAGTCAGGATGCTCTCGATGGTGCAGCTGTAGAACTTTTTGAGGATCTGAGGACCCATGCCAAATCTTTTCAGTCTCCTGAGGGGGAATAGGCTTTGTCGTGCCCTCTTCACGACTATCTTGGTGTTTTTGGACGATGATAGTTTGTTGGTCATGTGGACACCAAGGAACTTGAAGCTCTCAACCTGTTCCACTACAGCCCCGTCGATGAGAATGGGGGCGTGCTCAGTCCTCTTTTTCCCCCCTGTAGTCCACAATCCTCTCCTTTGTCTTGATCACGTTGAGGGAGAGGTTGTTATCCTGGCACCACACACGGCTAGGTCTCTGGCCTCCTCCCTATAGGCTGTCTCATCGTTGTCGATGATCAGGCCTACCACTGCTGTGTCAATGGCAAACTTAATGATGGTGTTGGAGTCATGCCTGGCCATGCAGTCATGAGTGAACAGGGAGTACATGAGGGGACTGAGCACACACCCCTGAGGGGTCCCCGTGTTGAGGACAAGCGTTTCAAATGTGTTGTTACCTACCCTTACCACCTAGGAGCGCTGCCTCTGGATGAGCGTTTTCCTGTTTACTTGTGGTCTTATACAGCTCATTGAGTGCAGTCTTAATGCCAGCATCGGTTTGTGGTGGTAAATAGACAGCTACGAAAATTATAGATGAAAGCTCTTGGTAAATAGTGTGGTCTACAGCTTATCATGAGATACTTTACCTCAAAACCTTGAGACTTCCTTAATATTAGATTTAGTGCACCAGCTGTTGTTTACAAATATACAAAGACCACCACCCCTTGTCTTACCGGAGTCAGCAGTTCTATCCTGTCGATGTAGCGTTTATCCTGCCAGCTGCATGGTATCAATGTCGTCGTTCAGCCACGACTCGGTGAAACATAAGATATTACAGTTTTTAATGTCCCGTTGGCAGGATATCCGTGATCGTAGGTCGTCCATTTTGTTTTCCAATGATTGTACGTTGGCTAATAGGACTGATGGAAGAGGCAGATAACTCGCTCGCCGTCAGATCCTTACAAGGCACCCCAACCTACTTCCATAATATCTCAGTCTCTTTCTCATGCGAATGACAGGGATTTGGGCCTGTGTCTGTAGAATATCCTTCGCGTCAGACTTGTTGAAGAAAAAATCTTTGTCCAATACGAGGTGAGTAATCACTGTCCTGATATCCAGAAGCTCCTTTTGGTCATAAGAGACTGACAGAAACATTATGTATAGAATTACAAATAACGCGAAAACACACACACATAATAGCACAATTGGTTAGGGGGCCGTAAAAGGTCAGTCAATCCGGAAAATGTGAAGAACTTTCAACGTTTCTTCAAGTGCAGACGCAAAAACCATCAAGGGCTATGATGAAACTGGCTCTCATGAGGACCGCCACAGGAAAGGAAGACCCAGAGTTACCTCTGCTGCAGAGGAGAAGTTCATTAGAGTTACCAGCCTCAGAAATTGCAGCCCAAATAAGTGCTTCACAGAGTTCAAGTAACAGACACATCTCAACATCAACTTTTCAGAGGAGACTGCGTGAATCAGTTCTTCATGGTCGAATTGCTGCAAAGAAACCACTACTAAAGGACAGCAATATGAAGAAGAGACTTGCTTGGGCCAAGAAACACAAGCAATGGACAATAGACGGGTAGAAATCTGTCCTTTGGTCTGGAGTCCAAATTTGAGATTTTTGGTTCCAACCTCTGTGTCTTTGTGAGATGCAGTGTAGGTGAACGGATGCTCTCCGCATGTGTAGTTCCCACCATGAAGCATGGAGGAGGTGTGATGGTGTGGGGGGCTTTGCTGGTGACTCCGTCTGTGATTTATTTAGAATTCAAGGCACACTTAACCAGCATGGCTACCACAGCATTCTGCAGCGATACGCCATCCCATCTGGTTTGCGCTTAGTGGGACTATCATTTGTTTTTCAACAGGACAATGACCCAACACACCTCCAGGCTGTGTAAGGGCCATTTGACCAGGAAGGAGAGTGATGGAGTGCGTCATCAGATGACCTGGCCTCCACAATCCCCCAAACCTCAACCCGATTGAGATGGTTTGGGATGAGTTGGACCGCAGAGTGAAGGAAAAGCTGCCAACAAGTGCGCAGCATTTGTGGGAACTATTTCAAGATAGTTAGAAAAGCATTCCTCATGAAGCTGGTTGAGAGAATGCCAAGCGTGTACAAAGCTGTCATCAAGGTAAAGGGTGGCTGCTTTGAAGAATCTAAAA